TAGGTAGATAGATGATAGATAGATGGATGGATAGATACATAGATGATGGATGGATAGGTAGGTAGATAGATGATAGATAGATGATAGATAGATAGATAGATAGATGATAGATAGATAGATAGATAGATAGATAGATAGATAGATAGATAGATAGATAGATAGATAGATAGATGATAGATGGATGGATAGATAGATGATAGATAGACAGATGGATGGGTAGGTAGATAGATGATAGATAGATAGATAGATAGATAGATAGATAGATGATAGATAGATGGATGGATAGATAGATAGATAGACGATGGATGGATAGGTAGGTAGATAGATGATAGATAGATAGATAGATAGATTGATAGATAGATAGATGGATAGATGGATGGATGGATAGATAGATGGATGGATGGATGGATGGGTAGGTAGATAGATGATAGATAGATAGATGATAGATAGATAGATAGATAGATGATAGATAAATAGATAGATGATAGATAGATAGATGATAGATGGATGGATAGATAGATGATAGATAGATAGATAGACAATGGATAGATAGATAGATAGATAGATAGATAGATAGATAGATAGATGATAGATAGATAGATAGATAGATAGATAGATAGATAGATAGATAGATAGATAGATGGATAGGTGGGTGGGTGGATGGATGGATGGATAGATAGGTAGATAGATAGATGATGGATAGATAGATAGATGATAGATGGATGGATGGATGGATAGATAGATAGATAGACAGACAGACAGATAGATAAATTTTTAAATGAATTATCAATGAGTTCAAATCGTGGCCTCGCATGCCTTGGCTATGTGACTTGTCCAAGTAACATGACCTTTCTCAGCCTGTCTCCTTAAATAAGGAACCATATTTGCCCTGTCCTGGGCAGCAACTGCACTTAACAAAAACAATATGAAAAGGTGTGTACTTGCTAGATTTTCAAATTAGCCTTTTCTTCTGTTGTGCATTTCTTCCATTTTAAGTACACTCGTCTGAGCTGAAATATGAATGCATCGCTTGCCATGGTTTTTTTTTTGGTTTGTTTATTATTATTTATTTGTTTATTGGTTTTTGAGATGGGATTTCTCTGTGTAGCCTGCACTCCGTAGACCAGGCTGACCTCAAACTCAGAGACCTACCTGTCTCTGCCTCCTGTGCTGGGATTAGAGGTGTGCGCCACCACTTCTGGGCACTATCCACTCTTAACAGCAGTGTACATGCATGTGTGAGGCGGTGCAGACCTCCCTATTAACTCCCAGTAAGATGATGAAGAGCATTTGAAGTGTGGACTCAATGTGATTTCTCTCATTTGACCCCTTATTTCTGAAAGGGGGTTTTCTTTCGCTTCGGAGAAAAGTTTTCAATCTAGTTTCTCCAACCATTACCCTTAGGATATCACCAATCCTGATGCTGAACATTGTCAAGATAGTGAGAAAACCAATGACATAATGCTGCAAAAACTGAAGAGCCTTCAGCTTCAAAAGAGAGACTTAGATAAAGAGGTGCTGTATTCTTCATTCTAAAACCTGATTCGCTGTAGTGGGATGAAATAGTTAAAACATCACAGAATAGTTGCTTCTAAAGTTTGGATTTTTTTAAAGAAGTGCTCGAGGACCAGACTAGCTTATTATGCTTGTTAGAAGTAGATACACTAGCCAAAAGTTGATTTGCTTTCAAATTAAAAAATCTACATTGGAAAATTTTATTCACAGAGACTGATGAGATGGCTCAGTAACTAGGGAAACATGCCACCATGCCCAGTGACCTGAACCCACATGTAGAAGAAAAGAACAAACTCTCAGAAGTTTCCCTCTGACTGCTGTGCATGAACACACACACACACACACACACACACACACACACACACACATGCACGCACACACGCCACATAAGTGTAATAAATTTTTTACATTTTTTTTCATTTTCCCATGGCATTACTGATTCCTAAAGAGGAGCTTGTTTTGACTAGTCCTTACAGGGGCTTCAAACTTTGTCACTTGGACACATTTAAAACAAACCCTTTATTTCTTCATTGGGAAGAAGGGTCAGAGCAGAAGTCCCTAGAGTCTCTCCATTGCCTTTTCCAAAAATTTAAATTTAACTGTACTTATCAATGTGTGTATGTTGGGGCAGTGCATATGGGACACAGCACATGTGTGGCGGTCAGAAGTCAATATTCAGGAGTTGGTTCTCACCTCCACCATGAACTCCAGGCATTGCACATGACTCAGCATCCAGCTATACCCCTAGCTCTGATGTCTTATACCTAAAGGCTACCAAGTAAAAGCAGCCAGGCAAAGAAAGGCACAGTGGGGCCGCATTGGAAGGAATCAGGTCCCCAGGTGTCCTGGAGAAATCACAGAAATCTGCACATCCTTTCCCCAGCCCTAACTAGTGATCACAGGGCCAAATAGACCATGGAAATTAAGGAAAACCACTTGCCCATAGAATTTTTATAGGGGAAATCATGTACCAAAGTTCCACCCACCAGAAAGCAAGTGTTCAATCTATATAACATGCTGTAAACAACAGAGTTTGGCCTACTGAGTCATCCGTAGCAAGGGCCATAGAAACCTCATGTAAATTAGGGCTCTGGGTGACTTGCTAGCTGGTCTTGCTAAGCATAGCAGTCTTGGGCTTGCTGTAGAAACTCTTCTTCAGGGAAGTGGTGAAATCATTAAATCATTTCAACATTCAAGACTGGACTTTGTGTGGTTGCATGACTTTATGGTAAATGTTCTAGCAGGTAATTTTCTTTTCCTCTAAAATATACAATGCTTTTTTCTAGTTATTGAAACATAAAAACAGAATTGCAACTCTTAAAGAGTTAATTGCTAATGAAAAAGCACTTCAACATCACACTCTTGAGGTGAGTTTAACACATTGTGCTTTGCCCTCAACATACTAATACACTGCAGGTATTGATGTTCTCTTGCCAAATTTCCTGAAGTCTTTCTAACTCTTAAATAGTCTTGTCTGTACTGGAACTCACTCTGTAAACCAGGCTGGCCTTCAACTCACACAGACCCACCTGCCTCTGCCTCCTGAGTGCTGGGATTAAAGGCAAGCACCACCACCACCCAGCAAATTATGTACTTCTAAGAATCCAGTCACATATCGCTCAACCCTCAATCTTTGAGTCTTAAAAAAAATTATGTGTGTTTTTTATGCATGTCTGTGCACCACATGTATGCTGTGCCTGAGAAGGCCAGAATAGAGCATTAACTCCCATGGAACTGGAATTACAGATGTTTGTGAGGTCACCATGTGGTGCTGGGAAGTGAACCTGGGACCTCCGCAAGATCAGCAAACTCTCTTAACTGCCAATCATTTCTCCAGCCCCCATTTTTAATTCTCAATGACACTGTGAAATGATAGGAGTGTGTAAATGCTATAATGTGTGCAAACATATTTAATCTCAGGTTACAAATTTTGATGTGGACGAAGCCAGGAATGCCAGAGATGCACCTGTGTTATTGGCAGTCAAACTGGATAAATACCACAATCTAAATGAGGAGCTTGATTTCTTGGTAAGAAGAAATGCGTTATGTTATGGTCCCTTTTATACCCAATGCCATCCAACACATTTTAAAAAGTTATCAACCTTCAAAGTATTTTTGCTCATTAAAATAGTCATACTGGCATTGTGGCAGTATTACCAGTAAAAGTATAGAAGTATTTTCATGTTTTAAAATTGGAAAAAAGGCTCAGTGGTTAAGCTGTAATTCCAGAGGACCCAGGTTTAATTCCCTCACAAGATAGCTCACAACTGTCTATAAATCCAAGAGGTCCAATGCCGCCTTCTTGCCTCTCTAGGTACCAGGCATGCAAATATCATATAGTTGTTTGCAGACAAAACATCCATACACATAAAATAAAAATAAAAATGAATTTTAAAAATAATTATAAAAAAATTTAAATATTGTCCAACTTGATTTGTATTTATACTAGTAAAATTTATGCTTTTCAAAATGCAGAAGCCAAAAGATCAACATGCTTTTATTTTCCCTAATTCTAAGCATCAAACCCAAGGCTTACCCACTGCAGACAAGCATGCTACCACTAGCTATATCCCTCTCTTTGTTTTATTTGAAAAAAAAAGTTATTTATTTTGTATGTATACACATGTGTGCATGACATCCATACAGGTGCCCTCAGAGGCGAGAAGAGGGTGTCAGATCACCGGGAGCTGAAGTTCTAGTTGGTTACGAGCTCCCTGATGTGGGTGTTGGGAACCAAGCTTGAGTCCTCTGAAAGACCACCAAATGTGCTCTTAACTGCTGAGCTATTTCTTCGGCCCCTCATTTATTTTTTCGAGATGGGATCTTACTGTGCAGTTCAAGCCAGCCTTCATCGCACGATAGCCCACCTCAGCTTCCGGAGTTCTAGGCTTACAGATACACACCATGCACAGCCCGCCAAAATAGAGCTACTTCTCACTGTGGATAAAGCACACTTACACTTTTGTGTATTCAGCTATAATAGCTGCATTAAATAGCTATGGTTGAAAATAACTTAGTTTGCATCAGGTGGCACAGAAAGAATGCAAAAAAAAAGGAGAAAATGAAAACATGATTTGGGTGTTTAGACAGTTACAGAACAATTAAAAAAAACTAAGTTGGTACAATATAATATTTTTCTTTTTTCTATAATATATTTTAATATACATATAAAATGTGCAATGGTCAAAGCTTTCTTCTTACCATAACTTTGTGTTTGGAGTTTTGGCCTCTTCCCTTCCGGTTATTTGTAGAATATGTTGCATGTTGCTGCAGACACCGGAGGTTTTTTGTTTGTTTGCTTGTTTTGTTTTTTGAGACAGGGTTTCTCTGTGTAGCTCTGACTGTCCTGGAACTCTCTCTGTAGATCAGGCTACCCTGGAACTCAGAAATTGTTTGCCTCAGCCTCTGGAGTGCAGGGATTAAAGGCATGCGCCACCACTACCCGATTTAAAAAAAAAAAAAAGTCTATGAAGATGGAAATCTGAACTGTTCTAATTTTATCACTATAGATTATGTATGTTAGATTATTACATTGTGCCACAAATACAATTTGAATAATACTAGAAAACCCCATGGGTCTCACTATAATGACAAAGACTGATAAGGTCTCTGGCATAGCACAGGTATCTATCCTTGTATTCCTAAACCACTTAGAAGCAGAAATATGCACAATATTTGCTGCATAGCCATTAACCTTTGAAAGAGAAAAAAAAGTGAAGATGCATGCCTAAAATCCTTAACCCTGAAGACTGGGGAAAGAGGGTTTCAAGTTTGAGTCTAATTTAGGGTATATATAAATTGAATTTAAAGCCAGCCTGGTCAACTTAGGGAGACCCTGCCTCCAAATTAAAGATATATATATATATATATATATATATATATATATATATATATATATTAGCCTGGAAGCAGAGCTCATGCATCACACATTCTAGGCACTTGGTTCTTCTCATGCCTGGAATGAAGAGGGAAGGAAGAGAGAGAGGGATGGAGTGCTGCAGTTTCTCCAACACGGGTCCTCTACAGACACAGAAGTATATTTCAAGTGTGAGAAGGTTGGAAATCACTCTTAGCACTGCTACTTAATGGGACGTTTTCTCCAGTTTTTTCCTCTGTAATTGCTTTGAAAATTTGCCGGGTGGTAGCACATGCCTTTAATCCCGGCACTCAGACAGGTGGATCTCTGTGAGTTCCAGACCAGCCTGGTCTACAAGAGCTAATTTCAGGACAGCTAGGACTGTTACACAGAAAAAGCCTGTCTTGAGGGAAAAAAATAAAAAAGAAAGAAACTTCCAAAGAAAATGTTAATAAGGTTTCCTGATGACCCTTAATGCCCCTTTCAGAAAAAAAAATAATTTTTTACTTAAAACGTTTATTACATTTGGTGTGTGTGTGTGTGTGTGTGTGTATGTGTGCGAGCGCGCACTCATGTGTGTAAAACCATATTGGCATGATTGGCATGCAGAGTGCCGTGGCACACATGGAGGCAGAGGACAACTTGCAGGCGTTGTTCCCCTTTCCTTATCGTCTGAGGGTTAGTACCCAAGTCACCAGCTGTGGCTGCAGGGGTCTTTACCCACTAAGCCATCTTGCCAACCTACATAGTCATTAATTCTCAATAATATTCTTGCAAAAACTGGACAAGAGGCTGGACCATGAAGTACGTTAAGCTGGAACTTAGAAATGAGCATCATTTTCAAGGGCGGTTCTGTCTCAGATATCATCACCCACACCACTGCCTCAGACTCAGACGTGTCCCTGCATGAGTCATCTATGCAAGGGATGGTGGGAAAGCAGGATGTGGCTAATGTCCGTAGCTACTAGCATATGCTTGGTTATTTACAAAACCATTTCATAGTAGGAAATAACAGAATCAAGGAAAGTCCATCATAATTCCTGCCGGTGTGTTTTGTATGCAATCTACCCTCATATTCAGCTCGTCTATGTCACTACACTCACTTAAGTGGAACTCAGTTTCAGAGAATATTGGACTAAAATACAGCTGACTTCATTTTTCACACCTGTTTTACGATGGTTTCCAGGTTACATTTTCACTGATGTTTCTCCATAGATCACAAAGTTGGGGGGCCTTCTAGAGAGCAAAGAAGACCACTACAGCAGACTCATCGAGGAGAATGACAAGTACCGGAGACATGTAGGCAGCTTAATAAATAAGGTACATGTTTTATGACAGGAAAACAAGCAAACAAAACCATCAAAAGTGACGCCAGGATCAATAAATGATGGGGATGTGGCTCAATTGGCAGAGCGCCTGCCTAGCGTGTGCCCTCGGTTTGATCCTCAGTATGAAAACAAAACCAAACAACAATAAAGTTCAACACAAACATCATGTCAGAGCTAACAGAACTCTTGCTGGGCAGTGGTGGCGCAGGCCTTTAATCCCAGCGCTTGAGAGGCAGAGGCAGGCGGATCTCTGTGAGTTTGAGGCCAACCTGGTCTAAAAGAGCTAGTTCCAGGGTAGGCTCCAAAGCTACAGAGAAACTAAGCCCTGCCTTGAAAAACTAAAAACAAAACCAAACACAGAGCTAATGGAACTCCTGAACTAAAAGGATCTAAGGTTTGGCAAGCCCTTTTACCTCGTAAGCACATTAAATGCCCCTATTAGCTGGATAGCTGGAAAGTGGCCAAGAACCTTGCTCCAGGCACTTTAAATCTTAATTTCACTACTTTACCCTCAACGTAATTAAGTATCTTTCCAATTTAGTGTTTTAGTTTACTTTTTGTTTTCATTTTGATCTTTTGAGATCATGCCTCCATAAGTAGCCTAGGCTGGCCTTGGAATCTCACATTTTACTGCCTCAGTCCTCCCCCACACACAAACAAGGACTGCATTGATTTAGTAGACTAAATCTACTAATAGATTTAATAGACTGTAATCCTTAGTTGGCCTTGTATCATCGGCATCATTGGGTGGAAAACAGGCAGCTCACAGTGCACTCGCTGGAGCTGTCAAGTTTCTGGGACTCACTTTTCCAGACCTAACTCATTGTTGCTCATCTCCTGAGATCAAAATAGGAAAGGATGAGTAGTCCCTTGGATGATTTTCATTTGCTGTAATCAAATAATTAAACTTCAACTTGTAAAAGTTTTTTTTTTAGTTGTTGTTGTTTTGTTTGTTTTGAGACAGGGTTTCTCTGTGTAGACTTGGCTGTTGTAGAACTCACTCTGCAGACCAGGCTGGCCTCCAACTCACAGAGATCCACCTGCCTCTGCCTCCTGAGTGCTGGGATTAAAGACGTCTGCCACCACTGCCCGGCTCAACTTGTAAAGATTTTAAAAAAGGAGAAAGTAATCAAATTAAACACAAATGTTTGTATTTATTTTAAAAATATATACTTATTTTCCCAAGGTAACATCATATGAAGAAATTATCAAGTGTGCTGATCAAAGACTTGAGATATCCCATTCTCAAATTGCACAGTAAGTTAATAAAACTAATCTTTTAAATTTTGTGAATATTAATTGATGTTTTATTTCATCCTCTGGCTTCTAAGATCTTTTACCCTGACTCATAGGAAATAGGAAATAGGAAAACTAGGGTGTATGTTTAGGATGAGCTAAAACCATGTTCAGGACCTGGTTCAGAATAAGCTGCTTTATGACTCATTTCGCATGGGGACTCCACTGGTTTGGGGGCACAGCCTGACCTCTGACCTTGCTGCTGTTTTCAAGAGTTTACATTTTTGAGAATTTTGGTATATAAGGGAACTTCTTTAAAAGGCACTGCTAGTTTTTATTTAATCCAAAGAAAAAGAATCTTTGGCAACTTGGGACTTCTGGTCTTGGGTTTTGTGTCTTAGTTTTTAAAATCTTCATTGACTTCGGGCTTCGAATAACCTTGCTGTTAGGGCCAAGAGTCAGGCAGTCACCCTGTGTTCTCCCCATACCCCACCCTCACCCCACCCCCACCAGTCACAGGAAGAGTTTTGTCATAAGAAGTGAGTCCTGTTCCAACCCTGGAGAGGGAGCTACAGTGCTGACCAGGCTGCCCACCCTGAAGGAGACCCAGGAGTTCAAAGACTTCATTGTCTCCAACTGGCTATCCTTCAAGGGACGGCGGTGCTGTTTCCATACCATCTTCAGCTCAGCTCCATCTCCTCTTCCAGGTGGAGCTTCATAGCAGGCATACTTCCACAGGGTGCAGAGAAACTGCTGAGCACCAGTGACTGCCACCCGCCCAGCTGCTTACCCCAGGGTGCCATCCCACAACTATGCCTGCCAGGGCATCACCTGCTCTGGAGCTCCACTACCAGGAGCTCATGATACCTAGTTCTGCCTGCTAGAGCACCCCTAACCAGAGTGGGGAAAGAGAAAGAAAAGCTAGCTGGGCATCTTAGGCATGCTTGCAAACCCACACATGTGAGAAACCTTACCACTATGATGGGGGCAGCTGTGGGTAAACATGCCAGCTCCAACGAATTGACCTTGGCACTACTGCAATACACAGAGCAAGGGTCTTCCAGTGGCAGAAGTATGACCCAGCCTTCTCCAGGTGGGGCTGCCTCACCTTGCACTTCAAGAGTCATTTTGCCGCTCAGAGTGATGGGGCATTTTTAGTTCCAGCACTTGAAAGGCAGGTGGATCTTTGAGTTCAAGGCCAACCTGATCTGCAGGTGGAGTTCCAAAGCATCCAGGACAACAGGGAGAAATCTTGTCTCAAAAAAAAACCAAAGACAAGCAAACAGTTATTTTGCAATCCCAAACAGAACTTCCTGGAAACAACACAGAGTGTAACCTGTACTCAGGCCTTTCACACTTTCCCAAGAAGGGAGGGGCCTAGGCCACAAGCTCGGCAATCAAGGCCTAGCATGGTTGATTGTAAATGCCTAAACTGAAGACAAAGACTAACAGATAGGGCCTAGACCTGATCCATCAAGACAAAGACTAACAAATAGGGGCCTAGACCTGATCCATCTCATTCCCATCCCAAATCCAGCTTGAACATCTGTTTGGGGTGTCAGGGTTTATATCAGATCTGAGTTAGGGAGCAGGAATAGAGAAATCCCTTAAATTGTTTCTATGATACAACGTAAGCATTCTCTGTTCTTGTTACTTTCCAAAAAAGAATTATTAGGAGAGAAAGAAATTCAGGTATAGTAAATGTTCTAGGGCCGGAGAGATGATTCAGAGGTTAAGAGCACTGGCTGTTCTTTCAAAGGACCTGGGTTCAATTCCCAGCACCCACATGGCAGCTCACAACTGTCTGTAATTCTAGTTCCAGGGGATTTGACACCCTCACAAGACATACATTCAGGTAGAACAGCAATTTAAATGTATGTAAAATAAAAACAGATCATTAAAAAGAAAATGTTCTAACAACCTAAATGAAGGCACTAAATGGCAGTCATCATTTTAAGGGTACAAAATGAAGATGGTACTAAATGATATACTTGATGACCTAACCCAGGGAAATAAATCTGCTTTATGTCCTTAACATTTTCTTTGAATTTTTGTTTTCTCAAGATCCTTTAGTTTGTATTCATGTATGCGCACTGTGCATGTGTGTATGGAAATCAGAGGACAATTTTGAGAGTCAATTATCTCCTTCCACAGTGGGCTCTGGGATCAAACTGAGGTTGAGGCTTGTGTGGCGAGAACTTTTCTCCCCTGAGCCACCTCACTGACATGCTCACATCCTTCCCACCATCTCTTCCTTGATGTTCCCTGGGCTCTGCTAGCTTAGCTTTGACTTTCGTTCACCCAGCAAATGGATTTCCATCTTTCACTTTCAGTCTGTGCCTGTTCTTGTCATTGAGATACATTTCCTAAAGACAAAAGAAATTTGGTCTTGCTTTTTAGTCCAGTCAGCTAGTCAGTGTCTTTCTGTTGTTGTTCTTATTGTTTTGTTTTTTCAAGACAAGGTCTCTCTATGCAACCTTGGATGTCCTAGAACTCGCTCTGTAGACCCAGCTGGCCTTGAACTCACAGACATCCACCTGTCTCTATCTTCTGAGTGCTGGGATTAAAGGCATACACCACCACTGTCCAGCTTAGTCAGTATTTTTTAATTGGTTAATTGGATAGTTAAAAACACTTATACTTAGGGTTATTTTTTTTTATACTTAGGGTTATTATTGGGAGCTCTGTGCTTATTCCTGTAATTTGATTGGTTGTTTTTCTGGTTAATTAGATTATTACTTGTTCTTTTCTCTCTATCTCCTATTCATATTAGGGGTTTGTGGGTTTGTTGTATCATGTACTTTGTATTCTTTCTTAGTTCTTTCTTGTTCATCCTTCCTGCACTCCTTGCTCTTCCTCATCTATACTTAAGGTTCATTTAAGTGTCCTTGGCAATGCTGGCTTGGTAGCCCTGAATTGTGTTAGTTTGTTTGTCTTGAAATATCCATATTTCTCTACCATTATAAAAGATAATTTTGTGTAATACAGCAATCTTATTTGGAAGTTATTTGCTTTTAGGACTTGAAATATACCATTCCATTCTTTACTGGAGTTTAGGGTTTCCTTTGAGAGGACAGATGTGCTGTCTTTGCCTTTGTAGATGAACTGACTTTTTCTTTGTAGCTTTTTGTACTGTTTTGAACTTTTTAAGTGTCTTGACTATGTGTCCTAAAGAATTTATATTATATTTGAGATTCTAAATGTCTCTTTTGCTTAGGTATCTCTCTCCCTCCCTCTCTCCCTCTTTCTCCCCTGTCACATGAGCCTGGCTTCTGCTTTATGAGGTTCATAAAGCTTTGAATGCTTGGTCCTCAGTTAGTGGAACTGTTTAGGAAGGATTAGGAGGTGTGGCCTTGTTGAAGAAAGTGTGTCACTGGGAATGGGCTTCGAGGTTTCAAAAGCCCATGCCAGGCCCAGTGTCTGTCTCCCTCTGCCTGCTGCTGGTGGATCAGGACTAAAGCTCTCAGCTGCTCCTCCAGTGCCATGCCTGCCTGCTTCCTGCCATAATGATGAGGCACCAACCCTCTAAAACTGTAAGCAAGCCCCCAAGTAAATGCTTACCTTTATAAGAGTTACCGTGGTCATGGCGTGTTTTCACAAAAACACAGCAGTAGAACAGTAACTAAGACAGCCTTCAGAGAATCTACAAAATATTCATCTTGAGGTGCAGGAGAGATGGCTCAGCAGTAAGAGCACTGCCTGTTCTTCCAAAGGTCCTGAGTTCAATTCCCAGCAACCATGGTGGCTCACAACCATTTGCAATGAGATCTGGTGCCCTCTTCTGGCCAGTAAGAATATATGCAGGCAGAGTGCTGTATATTAATAAATAAATCTTTAAAAAATATTTATCTTGAAAAGTCCATTTTTGTGTAAAATGCAATTGTTTCTCTCTTCAGTTTGGAAGAGAGAAATAGACACTTGGAAGATTTAATTAGAATGCCTAAAGAGAAAGTCAGAAGGCCAAGGTAAGTTTTCATTCCTTTTCTAAAAATACATCTTTAAAATACATATAGTAAATTATACATTTTAAAAATTTCCCCTTATATTTTATTTAAGATAAAAATGAAGTATTTCATATTTTTTAGTATAAAATATTGTTCGATTCAAGTTTTCTTGTAGGCCTTACATAGTGGCACATATCTAAAACCCCAAGCTATTCTGGAGGCTTGTCTGCAAACTTTAGCAAGATACTGTGTCAAAACAGGTTTTTTTATATATATATTATTTTGAGATGGTCTTATGTCTGGATTGATTGTTTTTTGAACTATTTTTTGCTATGCAGCACAGATGACAATACAAAATCCTTCACTAAGTGTTCCCATGTTTTGAGATTACAGGAACTTTTCACCCACCAAGTTACAGTGGAGTTTCTGTAGAGCCTGAGTTAGAAGGCTGCAGCCGGCCCTCATAGCAGCTATGAGCAAGACACTGCAAGGGCCACAAGGGGTGCTTATCCCCGTTTCCATGTCTGTAAACTGACTCCCTTCAGTAACATGACATCTTAAAGTCTGTAATTTTAGCAAAAGTCTTAGTCATATAGCCCACTAGTCAGTCATGTAACCAGGACACGGACACAATCTTTTAGGTTGACTGTCAGTACAGAGTTGGGTCCTAGTTTCAGCAGTATATATACTAAAACTGGAAATTTAGGGAAAAAAATCAGTTATTTTATATGGTCACTTTGCAAACACTAGTTTAATTCTGTTTTGATTTCCAAAACAGCCTGGATTTTCTCTGAGTTGTAGAAATATACTAGGGAAGTTTTTTTCTAGAAGCATTTAAGAGTATTTTTATACCATTTTACACATTTACCAGGTTATTTTTACACTGAATTTGGAGCTTATGTATATGGATTGATTGACTATGAAATAAGGGAAAGAGGTGACAAGGCACTCCCCGGCTGCTATGTCCATCTGTGTGAAAAACTCCAGAGCCCTGCAGGCTTCAGCCATGACAAACTCTGAAGTCTTGAGTGACCGCTAACCTCAGTGCACTCTTCAATGCAGTGAGACTTCCTCTGCATCCTCTCAAAATTCCAGTGCTGATTTGTCCAGTTGTTGCTGGCAGTGGAAACAGTGAAACTTTGGGATTAAAAAACAGTCCCCGATGTCTAGCTTTTTAAAATATGTTTTTATTTCATGTATGTATAACCCACATGTGGGTGTGCACATGTGGTTGCAGGTGACCACAGAGGCAGAGGCTTTGCACCCCCTGGATCTGGAGTTACAGGATGTTGAGAGCCACCTGACGTGAGTGCTGGGAACCAAATTCTGTCCTCTGCAAGAGCAGCAAGTGCTCTCAGTCACTGAACCATCTTCATTCCTCCCCCTCCACACCCCGTGTCTGATTTTTGCTCCTAGTTCTTCACTTTCCAGGAGGTTTTGTAGGTTTTCATTTTAAAACTGAATCTTGACCTAAGTAAATTTTAAGGACTCTCTTAAATATAATGAGACTGTGGCCCAGTATTTTATTCACATGCATCAAAGATGGTCTTCACTGAGGATGGTCCTCACTGAGGATGGTCCTCACTGAGGATGGTCCTCACTGAGGATGGTCCACACTGAGTTTTGTTCTTTAAAAAATAATGCTGGCATGCCCCGGCAGGCTCGCAGAGCAGCCGCTAGTCCGACAAGGACAGCTGTGGGTCTCTGCAAGATCTCCAGGGTGGCAGGCTGGTCCTGCCATGTGGCCCGGAGAGCAGGCGGGCAGGCGGGTGACCAGGTGGCAGATAAAAGGCTTACAGGACATAGTAAATAGACGTAAGGCTAAACATAAAGATGAACATTTATTACTTAAAGAAGAGGGAGAGAAAGAAAGGCAGAAATAGAAAGAGAGAGAGAGAGGGGAAAACACAAGTGCACACGCCAAGAGAGTGAACAGAAGGAAGGTTAAGATGGCGACCAGAGGTCAGAAGTGGCTGGGAGTAGGCGTGGCTTGCCCCTTAAAGGGACCAGACCAAAAGAATAACACTGAGGATGGCCCATACTGAGGATGGCCCATACTGAGGATGGTCCTCACTGAGAATGGTCCACACTGAGGATGGTCCACACTGAGGATGGTCCGCACTGAGGATGGTCCTCACTGAGGATGGTCCGCACTGAGGATGGTCCACACTGAGGATGGTCC